TTTTTTTTTTTTTTGAGACGGAGTTTCGCTCTTGTTGCCCAGGCTCTTGTAGTGGCGTGATATTGGCTCACCGCAACCTCTGCCTCCTGGCTGAAGAGATTCTTCTACCTCAGCCTCCCAAGTAGCTTGGGATTACAGGTATTCTCCATCACGCCCGGCTAATTTTTGTATTTTTAGTAGAGACAGGGTTTCACCATGTTGGTCAGGCTGGTCTCGAACTCCTGACCTCATGTGATTCGCCTGCCTCAGCCTCCCAAAGGGTTGAGGTTATAGGCGTGAGCCACAGCGCCTGGCTGAAGTTTTACTTTTCTTAAAGAGAATTTTTTTTTTTTCCTGGAAAATAAGTGCTGACATCACAACTGAAGTGCTCATGCATCTTTTACTCCTTTCAGGAATATCTTGGTATGGCAAATGAATGGATACAGAGTCCATTCTTTAAAACTAATTCCATGAATCACAGGAAATCAATGTAAGATTGTCTTATTAAATGATCTGTCAATGGTCAAATATGAATGGTATTTGAGACAATGAAGTTTGAGTTCTCTCTTGCTTAACTAGCAAATAGTGGGCCTACATACCGGGGCAACTTAAGATTTCCATTATTTTCACATCTCAGAAAAAAAAAAAGGAAAAAAAGGGAAATGATTTAAATGTTAAGTGATAACTCATATAAGGCTATTTATATAAGTTTCTTGCTTCCCAGTCGGGACTGAATAAAATCTACAATCGAGGAGTCAAATTTTTAAGTGTTTTGTACCATATGCTTATATGACAACAAACTGAGCAACATTTATTCTATTCTTTTTTTTCCTTTTGAGATGGAGTCTCACTCTGTCATCCAGGCTGGAGTGCAGTGGCGCGATCTCAGCTCACTGTAAGCTCCACCTCCCGGGTTCGTGCCATTCTCCTGCCTTAGCCTCCCGAATAGCTGGGACTACAGGTGCCCACCACCACACCCAGCTAATTTTTTGTATTTTTAATAGAGACAGGGTTTCACGTATTAGCCAGGATAGTCTCGAACTCCTGACCTTGTGATCTGCCCGCCTCAGCCTCCCAAAGTACTGGGATTACAGGCGTGAGCCACTGCACCTGGCCTCTTTATTCTATTCTTATGATAAATTTCAAGTTTAAAGAGATTAAGCTATTTCCACAAATGTTAAAGGAATGTAAGAAAGTTTTAAGGACAAAGGTGTTGGGACATTGCAGTTGGGACATGGCACCGTGGGCCATGCCAGCCACATAGCAAAATGGGGTGGAAACTAAAAATATGGAGGTAAGGCTAAGCATGGTGGCTCACACCTATAATCCTAGCACTTCAGGAGGCTGAGGCAGGCACATCACTTAAGCCCAGGAGTTTGTGACCAGCCTGGGCAACATGATGAAACCCCATCTCTACCAATCAATCATTCAATCAATAAACTGGGCATGGTGGTGTGTGCCTGTAGTCCCAACTATTTGGGAGGCTAAGGTGGGAGGATCACTTGAGCCTGGGAGGCAGACGTTGCAGTGAGCTGTGATGGCACCACTGCATTCCAGCCTGGACAACAGATACCTTGTCTGTCTGTCTCTGTCTCAGTCTGTCTCTGTCTCTCTCTGTGTGTGTGCGTGTGTGTGTTCATATGTATGTATGGCAGTAGAATGAAGGGGATATTGAGCACATTTGAAGATTCTCCAGTTTTCTTAGCGTGAAAGCTCCAGATCTGGGATAGGGTTTGAGGCAAGTGAAAAAGCCTTGGCTAGGCTCAGTAGGGAAGGTGACAGGATTCCTGGAGAACAGGACGGGAAACAACAGAGATCTCACTGAGGCTGTGTCACTCAAATTACTTTTTCCTGAAAATCAATCCAGGTGTAGTTTTCTCCAGCAATACCAGGAAGCCCCAGAATCAGAGGTACAAAGGTGTCTGAAGAGAGAAAAGGATTTTGAGAAGGAAGGGCAGAGTGACAAGGGATTGGGCAAACTGGATACAGCTGAAGAGGGCTGCTCCAAGGATGGGTTTTTGTTAAAGAAAAAAATCAATTTGGGGGCTGAGCACAGTGGCTCACATCTGTTGTCTCAGTACTTTGGGAAGCCAAGGTGGGAGGATTGCTTGAGGTAAGGAGTTCAAGGCCAGTCTGGGCAACATAGCAAGACTTTGTTCTCATATTAAAAAAAAAAGTGAAAAAATAAATTAAAAAAATCAAATGTTGCAAATAATGATTAAAACTCTTATCTAACAAGAAGCTTTCTTTCACCTTGGTATGTCCCTTCTCCTTTCTGTTTATACCAGAGAAAGCTGAATTTAAAAGTTTCAGGAACTGTGCCAATACTTTTGTACACTGTCTCATTTGGTTCCTCTAAAGGGTTTTTTTTTTTTTTTTGAGACGGAGTCTCGCTCTGTTGCCCAGGCTGGAGTGCAGTGGCCGGATCTCAGCTCACTGCAAGCTCCGCCTCCCGGGTTTACGCCATTCTCCTGCCTCAGCCTCCCGAGTAGCTGGGACTACAGGCACCCGCCACCTCGCCCGGCTAGTTTTTTGTATTTTTTTAGTAGAGACAGGGTTTCACCGGGTTAGCCAGGATGGTCTCGGCCTCCCAAAGTGCTGGGATTACAGGCTTGAGCCACCGCGCCCGGCCACTAAAGGGTTTTATTAAGTCATATTGTCTGCGGAGTTTCCACCAGTGTGTTGATTCATTAGTTTCCCTTCATTTGCATTTAGTCTAGTAGATGGCTAGCAAAGATCAACACTTTTCTGGTCTGCTATTTCTATCTCCTTTTGTGTGAGATGTTATGTCCTTTAACAAGGTAACATTTCATTAATAAGTATGGAAAGTTAACGCAAGAATTCTGCATCCTTCTCTTTTTTTGAGACTGAGTTTCACTTGTCGCCCAGGCTGGAGTACAGCCCCACGATCTCCGCTCACTGCAAGCTCTGCCTCCCGGGTTCACGCCATTCTCCTGCCTCAGCCTCCAGAGCAGCTAGGACTACAAGCGCCCGCCACCACGCCCAGCTATCTTTTTGTGTTTTTAGTAGAGATGGGGTTTCACCGCGTTAGCCAGGATGGTCTCGATCTGACCTTGTGATCCGCCCATCTCGGCCTAACAAAGTGCTGGGATTATAGGCGTGGGCCACCGCGCCCGGCCACATCCTTCTCTTCTATCCATTCTACTTCAAAATTATTTATGGGGTCTTCATGTTACCTTATATTTCTGCCCTCACATCACTTATCAGTCCACTGCCATGCTCCATCCCTCACACCAGCCCACATTTTAGCTCACACTCTACTACTGACATTCTCTGTAGGGTCATGAACCTAGGATCAAGACTACCTGTTAAAGCTGAAATCCTGTACCTCCCTGGTTTTAACTTCTGCATAGAACTTAAAATAGCCTCTCTACCACCACCCCACCCCGGCACCCACCTTGGATTTTGTCTCCCTCGGCTCCTTTTCTGTCTTACCACCAGAACCAAAGAAGTTGGTCTGTGTTCTCTTTCCTTCCATTGCATATCTCATCAACCAAGTTAGAAGTTTCAAATAGAGGCCAGGCGCGGTGGCTCACGCCTGTAATCCCAGCACTTTGGGAGGCTGAGGTGGGCAGATCACGAGGTCAAGAGATGGAGCTCATCCTGGCCAACACGGTGAAATCCCCTCTACTAAAAATACAAAAACTAGCTGGGCATGGTGGTGTGTACCTGTAGTCACAGCTACTTGGGAGACTGAGGCAGGAGAATTGCTTGAACCCAGGAGGTAGAGGTTGCAGTGAGCTGAGATCACCCCACTGAACTCCAGCCTGAGCGAGACTCCATCTCAAAAAAAAAAAAAAAAACAGAAGTTTCGAATACGTCTCCCACTTGGGTTTGGGAGTTTCTGGTTTAATTCCAACCACTTACTGTGTGTCCATATGTGCCAAGAATTATGCAAGATAAGGTTATGCGTTTTCGTATCTTTAGGGATAGATGAATAACGAATATACACGCGAATGCATGAGACCGGGAGGTACAGGTTAAGAACTAGCCAGATCCAAAATTCCATACAAAATATTGACAATTTCCATTCAGCCCTTGATTTTTCCCCAATCTCAAAGAGGTGCTGACAATAGGGGACCCCTCCAGGATCTCTGTTAAATACACATGTTCTGGTGAGGGTAGAAATCAGTGAGACAGGAAGGCACATTCAATGATTTCTAAATAGTGTGGGGTCAAAGGCCCCATGTCGGACAAAGCCCAGATGCAACCTCCCCCACTCTTAAGATCATGGTTTGGGATATCCACTTCACACAGGAATTTGTCACTCTGTTCTTCCATGCCTTTATTGGTGACAGCAATGGACAAGAACAATACCAGGCATAGCAGACACCCTAGCCCAGTACCTGAGGTGCCAGGCAGGCCCTGCAGGGCCATTGGCACATCCAGTCCCAGCCCAAGATCCAGTCTACCCAGGCCATGTCCCCGAATGGGCAGGAGGCCGTCTGTCCAGTTTGTATGTGTGGATCAGTCTCTCTGAGTGTCTGAGCCGCTGCCTGCAGGGCCCTCCCATTCTCCGCACATGGTAGGGGCTGTTAGGAACATAGCGTGGCATCCCCCGATGGACCACTGGGCCCCAGTGCTGACCATGGGGATTAGGGCCAGGGATTGGAGGTGGCAGAGGGCCAGGCACAAAGTTCACTCCAGGGCCACATCCTACAAAAAAACCAGTCATTATAAGAGCTGGCTTCTGGCCAGAGTAAGTACAGCTCTGCCTTCAAGCAACTCTTGTCCTCCAGGTGAGCTTCTGTGTTTCCCTATCTACAAAAAAGGGATAGCCCTTCCCCTACCTTCAGACGGTGAAATAGTGACAACCAGTGAGCTGATTAATGAGCCTACAGATGATGTTTCAGACTCAGGGACTGCTGTGACCAAACCCAGTATTAGAGGCACAAGGAGCTACCCAACTCCTCTCAGCTCACCTAGGCATAAGAGGCTGGGTAGGGGGAGGTACAAGAGGGTAGGGGAGCTGCAGAGGCACCTACCTAAGTGGGGTGGCATCGAGAAGTCCTCCACTGGATTATAGTTGAAGAATTCATGGGGTGGGAAGGGCTGGCCTGGGAAAAAAGGGGTATCCTGGGGCAGGGGTGGGAAGAGGGGAGGTGGCGAGGGCTGAGGAAGTGGGTAGGGAAAAGGCATGGGAGGGGGCAAAGGAGAGGGTGGGGGTGGGAGCAAGGCCAGGTGCTCCCCGAAGTCTGGGGTCTGCCTATGGCTTCCCTGGAATGGATGATTCATCTCTGCCCAGTCCTCAATCCACGGGTCTAGGAATGGGATGGTTGTTTTAGGTAGGCTTGGGAGCCAGGCTGCCCTGAACTCTGGCCGTCCACACTTCTAACGCTCTATTCCTTCCTCTTGGAGAGCAAAGCCACCAGGCCGGAGCACCCTTGCCCTCTACCCAGTTTTCCTCATTCCCTCTCATTTCAGGCCGAGCCCAAGGTGTGTTCCTTTTCTCTTACCTCTCAGACCTACCTTTGTTCTGACCTCACACTTTCCTCTAGAGCCTTTGTTTGCCCAGGTCCTGTATCTAACTTTTTCCTCTCCCACCTCCTCCCCATAGACCAGTAAATAAGCCAAACATAAAGATCCTGTTATTCCCTTCACCAACAACTTCCCTTTACCATCCAAACTTCCAAAAGGAATGTTTTGCCCAATTTTCATTTCCTCTTCAATTGCTCACCCCCTTTTAATCCAAATCCATGCTCTCAACACTTTTCCTACTAAATGTAACCACTTGCTAACAAATTCCCTTCTTCTCAACAGTCATGTGACATCGCCAGTAGCCTCAGTCCTTCCTAAAAGTGCCCCTGCCCTCATCTCCTTTTGTTTCTGCCACAGCCCCTTTCCTGCCAATCCAAAGTGTGAGCATCGTTCTGTCTCCCTCACAGTTCCCATTGTGCCCTCAGTTTTAATCTCTCTGCTGGGTACCAATGACTGCAAACCTACTCTGTATTTCCAACGTACCTCAAATAAATCTGCTGTGACCAAACTTACCGACTCATCCTCCCACCCCAAATCAACTCTCCCTTTTCATGGCCCTAACTTCTATAGCTCCAAATTGGATTTCAAAGGCCTAAGCCATCAAAACTAGCCTTATAACCTTCAGAGCATCCCGTCATTTGCTGAGGATTAATTATTACATCTAAACAAGAAAATTGGGATGTTTAACTAAAATCTGAATTCACTTCCCTGATGCTCCAACTCCTGGCTACCAAGTGCTACAGGTCTGTTCTACGATATTCTTGGATTCTCTGCACCCCCACATCCTCTTGTGCTGCTACAATTGGCCTTCTAACATGACTCGTGCCTCCCATTCAACAAATACAATTCTGTTGATACTGTGTACAGGGAAATTGTGCTAGACACTGGGGCTGAAAGGGGTGAGTTGTCAACAAGGGCAGCAGGAAACTTGCCCTTTAAGGACATGATGCAGAGGAGAAGCAGCCATGGAGACAATCAGCCACGGTGCCCCCTTTGTGTGCATGCAGGGACTGGGACGTTGACATGGAAACCGAGGTTCTGCAGCAGAGTGCTACAGTTGAGATATGATGGGGAGCAGTGCCTCAAAACAAGGAGGAGTGGGGCCCTTAGAAGCCTCCACCAATGACCCAGAGATGGGGACAGAGGAGAGCTACACCAAGCTGCACCAGTCACACTGGGACTCTGAGGCCGAACTAAGAAGCCTATGGAACACTGCCCATTGAGCCCGAGTCCATAAGGCTGGCCTTCCCGATGCAACACACCTGTTCCACACCCTGCCAGCTGACTGCACCCCCACCCCCCAAGCTGTGGGCTTCCTTGCTTCTGTCACACTGCCTGGATGGCCCTTCCTCCCTGTCTTTCCACTCCTCACACCCATGCCCCATTTCTTTCCTGTTAATCTGTTGGGTAGGACTCTTGCAACATGCTGCCTTGTGTGGTCAATACTTGTATAAGCTCCTTCTAACATACAGAAAGGACTACACAGCCAGACTGCAGAAAACTGGAACTTGGACAAGAATATTGTTCCGGTGATCTAACCCTCCTCAGGGGTTGAGGAAGGTGCATGCAAAAGACACAGGGGTCCTTCAAGGGACCTCTACTTCCCTTGAGTGGCTCTGTCCCAGTCTGGTTCTGAGCCCTGTCCTCTGAGGGCCCCGGTGCATCACTACCCCCCCCCCCCCCCCACTTATGGTAGGGCTCACCAGGGGGATAGTCACGCTTGGGCAGCTCCACGCCCCAGGCGTCAGCCACATGGGTCAGAAGCAGGTGTGAGAGGTGGCGGTGCGCATGCTGGTCCCAGTGGACACCATCCCGATGACGGTGCTGTACCGCATGCCGGAAATGAAAGTGGAGATCTAGGACATCAAAGCAGTGGTCCCCAGCCAGCGTAGCACTGTAGAAGTTCCCTTCAACCACATCCCGCCGCAGGGAGCCTGCCAGGGGCTGGAGCTGAGTGAGAAAGTGCACCCTCTAAGAGCCACAGAATGAAGCAGGGTCGGAAAGCAGGGTGTCCTATCTACCAGCCTGCTGTCCCATCTCTTGTCCTGATGGGCCTCAGTCACTTGCCTCTGGCAGGAGGAAACCCCCAGTGATACGCTCCCCGAGGGGCATCGCCATGTTCCACACCAGCAGGCAGGAGTCTGGCAATACTTGGTCCATGCGCACAAACACCCGCTCCAGGTTCTTGCGGTAGCTCTCCATTGAGCAGCGACCATATCTGTTGGGTAACACACAGGGTGGGCAAGAGCACAGGGGTGGACCGCCTCTGAGCCATACTTTCATTCCCAACTGGTATTTCCCTTTCCCTTGCCCCAACCTGGAGAGATCCCAGAGGCAGGAGTTGATGATCACCAGGTCCGGAGCAGGTCCATATGTCAGCTCTTCCAGAACATCCTCAAGGTACTCGGAGTAAACACGAGTGAGGAAGTAGAAGCGCACGAGGTGGTGGCCAGAGCCCGAGCAGAACTGGCGGACCTCACGGTACTGTGTCCCGTTGTGTAGCTCGCCCAGCTGGCCCCCAGCCACCAGCTGGTCCTGTTCAAAGCTCAGCTCCCCCTACCCACCCCCCCCACCCTACTGGTCAGACCCATGCCAGGGAGGAGAACCCTGCCAGGCCAGGGTCTGTGCCCACCCACCACTGACATGGCCACCAAGCTTCCCTCACCTTGGCTTTCAGCTGGGCAGCTGTGAGCAGTGAGTCTTTCTGGAGCAAGAGCACCAGGTCCTTGTACACAGCCCGCTGAACTGGGAGGAGACAGAGATCCCAAGGCTGAGGCAGACCTCAGCCTGCCCCAGCTCCTTCCAAGTCCAGGATCCCATTTTCCCAGGGCTGAGCTGCCCAACACCAGCTCCGTGGAGTGTTGACTTAGACGCAGGAGAAAAGATGAGGTTAAAAAGTCCTGGCATTGGCTCTGTTCGCTGTGCCTCCCGGCCAGCAGTATACAGTGACCCAAGATCACCTGGCAGAAATTAAGTCGGCCAAGTCACCCGGGAGACACACTACACAATGCAACGCTTTAATGACGGAAAGTATGGGGGGCTGTCAGGGCGAGAAATGCTGAGCAAGGATGGGCTAAAAAGTGCACAGGTTATTACACCTTTCAGAACACCTGTGGAAGATGTGTGGGACATAAAAAGAGAAAACCTACTGGACGAGAACAGACCAGAGGACAGACAGGAGATGTGAGATGGAGACAAATGGTCCAGACACACTGAACAGGCTGCAAGGTGTGGGACTGGAAGCGTCACCCTAGAAGAGGCACTCACTGGAGTCCCCCAAGATGACCACGAACTTGTTGTGTAGCAGCTGCTGGACTTCCGAGGCCTGGAAGTGGACCATGTCGCTTCGCAGCGGGCGGCGCGGTTCCTCGCTCGACAGACAGAAGACCATGCCGCCACCAACAACGACAGGCTGCAGGGAGAGGCCACATGATGGTGGGGACTCAGGGCAGGTCGGCCTCAGGGCTAGCCCCTCTGGGGCTGCTCAATGCTAAAGGGAGGAGGTGACGGCGGCAGAGCCATGGTGGCGCCAGCCTTGGTCACACTTGGTACCAGAGGCAGAGGGTCGTCCAGCCAGCAGGCCTCCAGGGCACTGCAGAGCTTCCCGCGCGGCGCCGCCCTAAGCCTCGCCACGTGCCCGCCGCCGTCCCGCGCATGCGCGCGCCCTCTCGCGCCAATTACCAAGTCCCGGGGCTCCGCGGTGTTCACCCGCGACCCGGGTAGGCCTGCACACCGCGCGCCTGGCCCGCAGCGGGCTCCTGGCCAAGCCTCATGTTCCCGCTCCCCGGTCGGCCAGTCGGTTCTGCAAAGCTCCCGCCCCGCAGAGACCGTGGGTCCGGGTTAGCCGTCGGTGCGCAGCCCAGCACCCAGCGCTCTCCATGCGAGCGTCGCGGTGGCCCCGACGGCGCCTCAGGCCTCAGCGCCTCAGGCTGCGACGCTCACAGCTTCCACTTCCGTTCACCCATGTCCCGCCCTGAGCGACCCCCAGTGCTCGAAGGGAAAGCAAGGCGATGGAGGTGGCCGCCACAGGGTGCAGGAGCCAGGGCTGGGCCCACTTGGCGGGCGCGAAGCCCAGTTACGGGCGGGGGTCGCGGCGGCGGCGGCCAAGTGAGGTTGCCCACAGTGGTGATGGCCGCGGCGGCGGCCTCGCCACGTGACCCGGACGGGCGGAAGCGGAAGTGCCGGCCTGGAGCCCGCTCTAGGTGGGTATCCCCTCGGCGCTTCCCAGCTGCCGTTTGCACCAGCCATGGACTGCTACACGGCGAACTGGAACCCACTCGGGGACTCTGCTTTTTACCGGTGAGCTGCCCCGTCCTCCCGCCCACGGCCTGGCTTACCCCGCTCGCCCGCGAGCTGGAGTCTCCCGGCGGCGCTCGCCCCCGTCACTACTGGCGCTGGGGTCTGCCCGCGCCGGCTCTCCCCAAGCGTATGCCACTTAACGCACAGCCGCCTTTGGGCAGGGAGCCGGGCCTTCCCCTGCTCCAGAAAAGGACACTGAGGCAAGCACAGTGGTCACTCGAAGCCCAGGTCTGTTAGCCTCCGGAAAGATGCTCAGATCTCGTTGAGGGAGGCAGCTCGCGGGTGACAGCGAGTGCCCAGTCTCCTGCCGGAAAGTGCTGCTGAAGTCAGACCACAGGGGCGCTCCGAGGGGGGCGGGATCGCACGGCGGGCGGGGTAACAGTGCTGACCAAGACTGGGAAAAGGGGGCGAGTCGTCCGTGAATCCCGGAACAGCGGAAGTGAGAACCCCTGGCTTAGGGCAGCCCTCCCATGGGAGTTGTAGAGTCCTAAACCACGGATCTTTCTAAAGTGTAAACTCGTTACGTCGCTACCCAGATTAGGATTTTCCCATAGCTTCCCTAATTAGGAAAAACTATGAACTTCTCGTGGAACATGTATCTATAAGGCCGCCCCTGTTTGTCTGTCCACCGTCATCTACCGCTCTCCTACCCAAACCTTGCGTTCCAGCTGCGCAGAATTACAAGGCCCCAACCAGTCTGCAGCTTTTGTGGACCCTGCCATTTCTCTCTTTATCTCACTGAAGAATTTTGCGCATCCTTCATGACTTAGTTCAAGGGTTCTTTTTGGAACTGTGCCTAATTCTCCCCCAATAGAATCCTGTGGGCCTCACTGGGCTCAGTGCTAGGGTCTGTTAGGTATGGCCTATTTGTATGTTTAGGCGACATTTGTATAGGTTTCTTCTGCTAAACCAGGCTCCTTCAGGGCTGAAAACTTTTTTTTTTTTTTTTTTAAACAGTCTTGCTCTGTCGCCCAGGCCGGAGTGCAGTGGCACTCGACCCACTGCAACCTCCGCCTCCCGAGTGGCTGAGACTACAGGCTCCCGCCACCACACCTGGCCAATTTTTGTATTTTTTGGTAGAGCTGGGATTTCACCATGGTGGCCAGGCTGGTTTTGAACTTCTGACCTTAAGCAATCTATCCACCTCGGCCTCCCAGAGTACTGGGATTATAGGCATGAGCCACTGAGCCGGGCCAAAAGCATGTTTCTTGCCTCTCTTTATCACCAGTGCATATTTAGAACAGTGCTTGCTATGTAATAATTGCCCATTAAAGTTTTTAAAAAATATTTTATTGGGCCGAGCTTTGTGGCATGTGCCTATAGTCCCAGCTACTGGAGAGGCTGAGGCAGGAGAATCACTGGAGCCCAAAAGTTTGAGGGTGTAGGGACCAGTGATAGCACCTGTAAATAGCCACTGCACTCCAGCCTGGCCAACAAAGCATACTCCCTCTGAAAAATTAAAAGTGTTATTTTAGGCTGGGCGCAGTGGCTCATGCCTGTAATCCCAGCACTTTGGGAGGCCGAGGTGGGGGAATCACCAGAGGTCAGGAGTTTGAGACCAGCCTAACCAACATGGTGAAACCCTATCTCTACAAAAATTAGCCGGACGTGATGGCAGGTGCTTGTAATCCCGGGTACTTGGGAGGCTGAGGCAGGAGAATCGCTTGAACCTGGGAGGCAGAGGTTGCAGGGAGCCGAGATCGTGCCATTGAATTCCAGTCCAGGCAACAGAGCGAGACACTGTCTCAAAAAATATACATATATATATTTATTGATTGCAAGTAAAGATCACAAAGACATCCATGGGAGTCTTAAATAGAAGACATTTGTTTGTGCTAATGAAACTATATACCATTCTCATTGACATATTAAAACTTTTAAATGTAATTTTTGGTACCTAATGTGATATACTTCCTAGATAGACAAGTGCCCTGTGGCAGTTTTTACAGACCTGTTGCATTTGTTTATTTGTAATTCTCTCTTATAAATATGCCTGTGCCATTGGCCGAGCGCAGTGGCTCACACCTGTAATCCCAGCACTTTGGGAGACTGAGGCAGGCGGATCACGAGGTCAAGAGTTCAAGATCAGCCTGGCCAACATGATGAAACCTCGTCTCTACTAGAAGTACAAAAATTTGCCGGGCATGGTGGCGTGCACGTGTAGTCCCAGCTACTCAGGAAGCTGAGGCAGGAGAATTGCTTGAACCTGGGAGGTGGAGGTTGCAGTGAGCCAAGATCACACCACTGTAATGTTGCCTGGGCAACAGAGCAAGACTCCGTCTCAGGGGAAAAAAAAAAAAAAGAAATATGCCTGTGCAATATGAAAAAATTGCAAAAACTTTGTTAAAAATCCATAAAATCAGTAGGAAATTATTTCAACTTGTTTCTGTGGAGAAGGGATATCAGCTGACAAAGTTAGCCATATCGTTTAGTATTTACACACCAGCTAGTTAATACGACATTCGCTTTTAAAATATCAACTTTACTTGTATTATTTTGAAGATACCTGTTGCCTACCCGGGCTTATTAAATCAAAGAGTACTGCAGACAGTGACCTCATTATCACAGAGCTCTTGTTTATCAGATGTAGTCTTTGCTTTGTTGACATGTTAATAAGGTTTTAAAATAATGTATGTGTTCGGTGCATGCCACAGACACAACCTGAATGATTAACCTACTCTTACCTGCGCTGTACTGCCAGAAAGGATTAGGGGTCTAAGGCTTGCTGGGGAGGATATTTATGTTTTAAGTGGCTAACAGCTGTTGAGCCTTTCTTATGTACTAAACATTATGCTAAGTAATTTATGTGTTTTAACTTACTTAAGCCTTAAATCCCATGAGGTAGATACCGTCTTACTGATGAGGAAGCCGAGGCACAGAGAGGCCAGGTTATACAACTAGTGACCAGGTTACACAGCTATTGACTAGTGGAGTCAGGCTTTGAACCCGAAGAGGTTCTAGACCCCTGTTAAAAAATACGGTTTTGGGGGTGGGGAGGTTAACAGAAAAATATAAGGGCATGTTTTGCCTCTTCCACCAGAGTGGAAATGCTTTAAGAGCAAGTACTTAGTTTTGTTCATAAGTGTGCATAGCTTTATGCATAGGTAGGACTCGATACATGTCTGAGTCAGTGAATGAATGATAAACAGGTGGCAGACATTGCATTTCAAGTCCTATCTGCCTGACAGGATTCTTGTGCATTGGAAGTAATATTCTGGAGAACTCACTCAATTTGGGAAGGCATGGAGGAGAAACGGTGACCAGTTCTTATGGGACTCCAGAAGTCAAGCCATTTTTTTAATCCTAAAAATGCAACTTGGGCTAATCTAATTAATTAATTTGTCCCGACCGTTTGGCAGGCTGAGCCAGTATAATAAAACAGATGTGGAAGGATTCTGCCTGCCTTCATAGAGCTTACAGCCAGCAGGCGAGACAGTTGATAATCACTCAGTATTTGTTTGATCATAATCACTGTAAAGAGAGGTATAGGAGCAAATAACCTAAGAGAACATACCACAGACTCGGGGAGTCAAAGGTAGAGAAGATACTCTAAAAGAAGTAATAATACCCTATCCAGGGAATGAGTAGATTTAGGTGCAGGAAGTGGGATGGAGGTGGAGAAGAGCATATACACAAAAGTCTTGAGGCAGGAATGACTGAGGCATACACAGTGACCTAAAGAGAGCCAGTGTGGCTGGAGTGCTGTAGGCAACAAGAACAGGACATGGATGAAGTTGATGCCCGTCATGTAGGGGTCACACCCTGCAGGGACATGTAGACCACCATTATCTGAAGAATGATGGGAAGCCTCAATTAAAGGATCTTAACAAAAGATTGATGTAATTGGATTTGCAAGAGGTGTGTGTGTGTGTGTGTGTGTGTGTTAAGTTCCTTTTGTAGGCAATAGTGGGGAAAAGTTGGAAGGAACAAGCAAAATGGAAACAAGGGAGATGGTTAGGAGCTTGATGGAACAGACCAGGAAGAAGTTGAGGATGGCCAGTACTAGGGGTGGTGATGGTGGAGGTGGAGAGAAGGGGCCGATCTGAGAGATTTAAGAGGTAAAGTGGAAGGAATTCGTAATGATTGCACTTGGTGGGGAGGAAGGAGAGCAAGGAATCAAGGATGACTTGGATTTAGGGCTTAAATAAAATCATGAGAAAGGAAGAGTGAGTTTGGCAGGGAAGAAGGTGAGCTGATTCTAAATACATTGAGTTTCAGATACTAAGAAGCATCTTATGGTAAAAGAAAGGAGACTTAAGATACATTATATACTCCTGAAATTATTTTTAGAAGGGAGGGCAACTATTTAAGTAGTTACATTTTTGTTTCTTTTTTTTTTTGATATATAAACTGAACTTTTTTTCAAAAAAATCAGCAGTGTGTAGTAGCACGCACATGTAGTCCCAGCTACTTGGGAGGCTGAAAAAAAATGAACATTTTTTAAAAATGTGGTTAAATATACATGATGTAAAATTTACTATCTTAACCATTTTTGAGTGTACCCTTTAGTAGTGTTAAGTTTATTCACGTTGTTGTGCAACCAGTCTCCAGAACATTTTCATCTTGCAAAACTGAAATTCTATACCCTCAAACAACCTCCCATGTCTTCCTCCAGCCCGTGACAACCACCATTCTATTTTCTGTCTCGGAATTTGACTACTCTGGACTCCTTATGTAAGTGGAGTCATACAGAACTTATCTTCCTGTGACTGCTTTATTTCACTTAGCATAATATTTTCAAGGTTTATCCATGTTATAGCACGTGTCAGAATTTTCTTTCTTTTTGAGGCTGAATAACATTCCACTGTATGCATATACCACATTTTGCTTATCCATTTCATCTTTCCATGGACACTTGGGTTGCTGGTAGCCCTT